GAGCTTGCAATAAATCTTTATCTTCCTTTGAACTGCCTGGATTTTCTGCCCTGGGCAGTGACTGATCTCAGTAATCGTGCTGGATTTCATGCCCAAGGCTGGAGTTGAAGCCCCCACACACACACACACCTCTTCCTCCTTTCTGCAAACCCCGCTTCCTTCTAGCACAGGGGTCCCCAAACTTGACAACTTTAAAACTTGTGGACTTCAATGCCCACAATTCCTGAGTTAACATGACTGGAGGAGGAGGAATTCTGGGAGTTGAAGTCCACGAGTCTTTAACTCACCAAGTTTGGGGACCCCTGTAAATCTAGCATGATGATGTCATCTAGTTTGGGTCATAAAATGTCTGCAAGAAAACAACCAAGCTCAGAGGGCCCCAAGGGCCCCACAGTCCTCCTCCTCCTCCCATAACCGTCCCCTTCTAGCGCTGGTGAGGTTCCCTAGTTGGGCCATGAAACATCCAAGCTCAGAGAGCGCTGCACCGCCGCCCCCTCCTCTACCTCCACTCTACAAATCTGGCTCCCTTCTGGCGCTGGTGAGGCTGCCCAGCCTGGGCCGTGAAACGCCTGCCGGAAACCCTCCTACTTACCTGCGTAGAAGTGGTAGAAGGGCCACCAGACAGCGCTGTTGGGAATGTAGGTCAGGAGGGAGGCCACGTAGCCCCTGTAGAAGCCCCTCAGCCCGTCGGCCTTGAAGATCTGGGCGATGATGTCCCGGGTCTGGCCGAAGACGGGCAACCGCTTGCCCTGGTGGGGCTGCACGCGGAAGCGGCCCATGCTGTTGCCCAGGCGCTGCATCATCAGGTGCTGGGAGACCACGTCGATGGGCACCGTGATGCTCTGGGCCACCAGGGAGGCCGAGCCGCCGGCCACCAGCGACTTGATGGTGTTGCTGCTGCTGTACTGCGAGACGTACTTGCGGGTGAGCTCGTAGGTGGTCACGTAGCACTGGCCGGAGATGAGGGTGAAGGTGTTGACCAGGAAGCCCCGGTAGAGCCCGGCCGCCCCTTCGGCCCTCAGGATCTTGACGAAGGCGTCGAAAGTGCCGTTGTAGAGGCTCTTCCCCCTCTGGACCTGCAGCCGCGTCCGTATCAGGGTGAACGGGTAGACGCTGATGCGGATCATCATGGTCATGCACACCCCGAAGACGTAGAACTTCTTCTTGTCCAGGTGCTCCCACTCGATGATCTGGATGTTGCGCTTGTCCTCCATGGCTGGGGGGCGCCCTGCGGAGGAGGGGGGCGGGGGGGGTGAGCTTCCCAACTTATCCAGGGCCCCCCAGATTGAGGGAGACCGGGATGGTGGAATGTAGCCGGGGTTCCTAGAGGAGGGGGTGGTGGGGGGCTGCACCCCAGAGGGCAAAGAGGCCGCGGAGACTAGAATGCCTGGGGGGGGGCAGGAAGAGGGTTAAGAGCAGGGCTGGGCTGCTGCGGGTGGGGGGGTTCGCGAGAGCCCCTAGCTAAGATTCTGCGCAGTTCGAAGAACCTCCCAACCTCGCTCCTGGCTGGCCCCACCCACCCCTCCCGGAGTCCCCAAGCGGCCCGTTTTAGATGCAGGTAAGCGCAGGGCGCGCATGGAGGCTTGAGGAGGGCACAAAACAGCCTTCTGGGCCCGTTTCCAGCTTCCAGAGAGCCTCTGGAGGCTACTTTCACCCTCCTGGAGGCCTGAGGGAAGCCTCCAGAGTTCGGGGACGGCAGAAATGCCCCCCTCTCACTGTGGCGCAGGAGGCCAACTAGGCCACGCCCACCCAGGAACCGAGCAAAGACCCCGTTGCTAAATTTTTTGAAGCCCACCCCTGGTGAAGAGGTCTCCTCCCTAGTGATCCCCAGAGTCTATTTAGGGCAGGGGTCTCCGAACATGACAACTTTTTAAGATTTGTGGGCTTCAGCTCCCGGAATTCCACAGACCCCTGATCTAGAGCGACGCAAATACTTGCTTTAGTTTGGCAAGATTCTGTCTACAGGTGAGGGACAGCCAAGGGAACGACTTGTCGGGAACTCCGTGGGTCGTTCGTGGGGCCTGACAGTGGCTGAAAGGCCACAATCCGCAGAGATGGTGGGTTCCCAGGCTCTGCGAGAAGGGAAAGGCTCTTGGGGTTCTCTGAATGTGGTTGTTTCCTTGCAGGTATTTCATGACCCGAATTAGGTAACACCAGTGCAAAGCAATCAAGCTCCAACCCTGAGCTGCACACGTTCTTCTCTTACCAGATGGGACAGTTCATTTCAACGATAGGTAACCCTCCTCGCTTAACAACTATAATTTGGGATTGGCAACTCTGCCACTAAGAAAAGTGGTGGCTAAGTGGGAAATCGTGGGACCACAAATGTGCTTACTGGCTGGGGAATTCTGGGAGCTGAAGTCCACATATCTGAAAGGTGCCAAAGGTTGAGAAATCCTGCACTCTGGGCAGCATCTATGTGGCACATCACGGAAGACGTATTCGACCCTCAGCTAAAAATATAGACATGAAAAACCGCTGATCAGTTGAAGAGAGTTTGGCAAGCCATGGTTAGGCAGGACTAGACAGAAGCCAAGTTAACCCGTGAAGCCAACAATCTCGGATTAAGCCCCGCCCCCCCTAAACTGAGGCTCAGGAATACCTTCAGTGAACATGTGGTGGGAGAAGATCTGGGGATTTGCTGTGGATCCAAGTGATCTTCCTCATACTTCTGA